ATCTGGTCCCTCTATTTCTTCATTTACATGCTTATTCCCATGCCCGGGTGCTATGAAACTATTCTGTGCCTCTACCAAAAAAATTTAAATATAACTCATACACCATAAGTCACCCTTTTAAAGTATACAATTCAGTGGGGTTTTTTTTTTAAGATTTTATTTATTTATTTGAGAGAGAGAGAATGAGAGACAGAGAGCACGAGAGGGAAGAGGGCAGAGGGAGAAGCAGACCCCCTGCTGAGCAGGGAGCCTGATGCGGGACTCGATCCCGGGACTCCAGGATCATGACCTGAGCCGAAGGCAGTCGCCTAACCAACTGAGCCACCCAGGCGCCCCAGTTCAGTGGTTTTTAATATATTCAGATTTATGTAACCATCATCACTAATTCCAGAACATTTTCATCACCCTGAGAAGAAAGCCCGTACTGATTGGCAGTCACTTCCCATTTCCCCTTTCCCCTGAGTTCCTAGCAGTTACTAATCTATTTTGTCTTCATATAAATTTGCCTGTTCTGGATGTCTCATATAAATGGAATCCTACAATATGTGACCTTTTGTGTCTGTACTTCTTTTACTTAGCATAATATTTTCAAGGTTCCTGTTGTAGCATAGATGAATAATATTCCAGTGTATAATTACACCACATTTTATTTATTCATCAGTTGATGGACATTTGGGTTGTTCCTACTTTTTGGAAGTTATGATTAATGCTGCTTTGAACATTCATGTACAAGCTTTTGTGTGGACTTAGGATTTTTATTATTTTGAGTATATACCTAGGAGTGGAATTTCTGGGTAATATGGTAACTCTGTATTTAACTTGTTGAAAAACTGCCGAAGTACTTTCCAAAGTGGAAATCCCACCAGTAGTGTGTGAGTATTCCAATTCTCCACATCTTTGCCAACACCTGTTATTGTCTTTCTTATTTTAGCCATCCTAGGGGGTGTGCAGTGGCATCTCATGTGCTCTACCATGCCCTTTTAAACCCCAGAAATCAGCATATCTGTTCTTCCAAGATAGGAATACCTCAAGTGTTCTCTTCCTCTCTACCTCTCTGCTAATTTAATGAGCTTGTAAACCAAGTTTCCATTACAAGACTACTTAATATACCTTAAATAAGATTTTATGGTTATCTCTAGTCACTCTCCTTGTAATAGACCTCCAATACATTTTTTAAAACATCTATAGAACAATGCAGTCTTCTTAGTTCCCTCCCTTTTATCTATACAGGTTATCAGCTCTTTGACTTACTGCCCAAAAGGTCTGTATTGTAACCATGTATTCAATTTAAGGAACAAGTTTTATTGTAAAGGGGTATGTACAATTTGGATAGAATGAAATTGAAATCCTAGGCAGACATTGCAGGTGTGGAGAAATAAGTACTCTCAAAAGCTTTTTGGGGAATTATAAACTGGTAGAAACTTGGAGAGAAGGGCAGATAACTATTTGATAATATGTATCAAAAGCCTTAAAAATGTTCATAAACTTTGTTCCAACAATTCCACTTATTGGACATTTTCAAGGAGGGAAAAATATCCAACAGTGGAGAAGTAAATATAATATATCCATAAATTGCAATGTTGTACAACCACTGAAAATTGAGTAGACTTACCTTAATTACAATATGATCTATTTTTAAGTGAACACAACAGACTACAAAGTAGGGCATATATTCTGTGATCTCATTTTTTTTAAACGAAAGTTATACATGTATACTTAGGCAAACAAAAAAGTCTAGAAAGCTAGCATGTCAAAATGCAGATTTTTAAAAAAATAAAAGCATTCCTGATTTTTATAATCAGAGAAAATAAAACTATATTTTGAAGAAAATATATGCTCTCCAAAAGGAACCTCCCTGTTTAGTGTATGTAAGAATGTTCTATATTTATGAGTAACTTCCCTTTTCAATTGATACATTTATTTGGGATTCTCCGCCTGTCTTTGGAATCAGGGGTTCTGAAATGCCAGTCACATCGTAATCTTCTGTGGTACTTTATAAAAATACTGATTTCTGGGCCCTACCCCTAGAGATTCTGGTTCAGTGGTGGGAAAAGGAGATTCTAAGAATCTGTATGTTTAAAAGGCTTTCCTGGTACTTCTGATGTGCAGCCCGGGTTGCAAAACTACAAAGTGATGTTGCATAGTGCGACTGAAATGGATTTCATTGAAAGCATCTGTCCTATCATTGCCAACTCATGTGATATGTCCATCAGCCTAGCCTACTGCCTTTTCTCTAAGAATTCCCATCACTCAGAGTTCTGCCAAGGGTGGGCCCAGCCTCCAGGCTCACGTTACCTGCATGATCCTGCCTCTCCTTGCCACAACTGACCAGTCCAAAAGTGGAGTCCTGGACCAAGTTAGGCCAGTAAGATTTTTCTCTCCTAGGACTTTGGAACTGGGACTAAGACGGGAAGTCAATCAGGAGCCAGCACTAACTAAGGATATTTGAGGGCTGAGGAAGCCATTTTCCACCAAGTTTTCACTGATGAAGAGCCTACCTTAAAAGGGGGAAAGAAAGAAACAGATGTGCAGAGAGAAGTGTAAATAAGACACCCAGAGAGGAAGGGTAGTTTTGGTTCTCAACTTCCAGTGCCTTGTACCCATCTCTCATGAGATTCAGTTTTACCTCTTGCTCTTGGAGACTGTAAGTTACTCCTTCTAGTAAATTGCCTTATTTGAATGTTTATCATCAATCAAAGAACCCGAAACTAAGATAACAAACCAATACTCCATAGCATGTAAAGAAGTAGTCTTCAATCCTGTATTCCTATAGCCCAATTCTAAATAATCCACTTTCTATGTGACTTTCTAGTCATGGCCAGCTCTATTTCCATTTGCTGAAACAAAATTTAGGTCTCTCCAATAAAAAAAAAAATCATTTTTAAAATCATATGGAGGAAGAATACCATGGCTATTTCCTCTATTTCTGCAGAGGCACAAACTAGCTTATATTTCTGGATTTGGTATCTCCCAATCCATAGTCACATATCCCACTCCTTTCTCCTCACTGGTGGGGTAGAATATTAATAGTAAAATAGTAATAAAAAATAACAATAATAAATAAAATAGAAAATGTACAGTGTTAAAAGATTTCTATATTTGTTCCTCTTAACCCCTATGGAATAGACAATGGCAGTGTTATTAGTCCATTTCTTATTTGAGAAAACTAAACCCAAATGAATTAAATTCATTCATTTATCAAATATTTATTGTCTATTATGTGCCAGGAACATACTTCTCTACACTCAAGAGCTTATATTCTAGCAGGGAAGGCAGACAAGCAATTACCTAAGGCAATGTGTGGTGTAAGAGAAGAACTAGGAAAGGATTTCCCAAGTGGAGAAGGCCTGTCTCTAATGGCTTTGGCTATCCCCAACAGTTACCACAGTTCATGGTAAGAATCTTTAAAGCTGAAGTACCAGATGAAAGTTACTGGAAAGCACTTTTATTACTTTTGTATCCTCCAGCCTACTTCAAACCCAAAGAGCTGACAACTCAACCCATGTTCAGTGTTCCCATTGTTCACCTCAAAGAAGTCCCTTCATCTGTTTCCTAACTTACTATAGTACAACATCACCAGATTTGCAAGTATCCCTCTTCTTTTACCACCATCCCCACCAACTTTGAAGTAGTAAGTGATGTCAGCTCTCCCCACTTTATGCTCCCCATGCCCACTGCTGGAGCCTCCTTTCCAGTCATCATTTCTTACTTGGGCCTTTGCACTAGGCTAAACAGCCTCCCAGCTTCTACCCTTCTTAACTGATTTCAGACACACAAATCTCATCATTGTGCCATTCTAGTACTTTAAAAGTCATGGTTCTCTATCTTTGAGGATGATAAAGTTCAAGCTCTTTGGTATGGTACAGAAATCCTCTTGCAAGGTGGCCCCCCACCAAACACCTCTCCTGTCATGTCCTGCATGCAGCCTCTTCTCATAGGACTTCTCATGGCTTTGCTTATTGCATCTTCTCTTCCTCATATGATCCTTCTTCCCATTTCTAGGTGAACGACTTATTTTTTGTCCTTCAAAGCACAATTCAAATGTCTACTCTCTTTTTAAAGCCTTGCCTGAATCCCTGGGCACCCCCTCCTCTAGCATTAATCATATTGCATTGTAATCATTTGCTCACATATCTGTCTCTCCCATAAGGCTGTGAATTCATTTAGGGAAGGAACAATGTCTTCCTCCACATCTAGGGAATGCCTGGCACGTAAAGTAGGCAATGTTAATGAACGAGGAAATGAATAAGTAGGCCCAGCAGTGTTCTCAAGAAGAGGAAGACACTTTGTCAGTGACCTCCAGTCAAGTGCTGTGCAGCTCCCCACCCCCACACCTGCTCAGCCCTGCCTGTGCCTATACAAAATATGCCCTCTGAGGAAAATACAAGTAGGAAAGAGGGAGGAGACAATGAGTTATAATTTTTTTTATAATTTTTTTTAATTTTATTTATTAATTTGACAGAGAGAGACACAGCGGAAGAGGAAACACAAGCAGGGGGAGTGGGAGAGGGGGAAGCAGGCTTCCCGCGGGGCAGGGAGCCCGATGCGGGCCTGGATCCCAGGACCCTGGGACCATGACCTGAGCCGAAGGCAGACGCTTAACGACTGGGCCACCAGGCGCCCCTCTGAGTTCTAATTTTAAGGGTGGATCTGCATTCACCTTTGGAATAGTTCCAATTGTCAGGGATTAAATACAACTTTTTTTTTTTTAATACAACTATTTTTAAATGCAATACTCTCACGAATGCGCTTGCCGAACAAGAGTTGGGCTGGGACCTTTGGGGAAACCGCCAGACGACTAGGGGGTAAATCATTTTATCGCAGTGACAAAATTTTCGCATTTAAACAGCAGAAATTTGCCGAAAGTGTGGATTCTGTAAATACAAGTACGGGCAAGTTGCACCAACCTATTTCTGAGGCGCGCCTGGGATATAATGCTCAACACTGACAAACACACCTTATGGAATCTACCAGCAGCTACGGGAGCGAGGCATACTTACCGCCTCCCCGTGAAGACTGGTGGGGCCCCTGTCCCCTAGCGGGACGTGGAGGTGCACCCCCAGATGTCGAGCCCCGCCTCCCGGCGTCTGCCCGGGCCTGGGCGGGCGGGGCCCGCCACGTGGAGCGCAGACCAGATTCTCCAAGGCGCCTACGCTGTTGCCGCGACGTAGCTCCGGCTCGGCCCTTTGCCCCACGTCAGCGGCGGAGGCTCCGCGGCCTGCGTTTACTCCAACGCCGCTGACGTAACGTCATCTTGCGGGACGTGGACGGAAGAAAAAGGAGAGTAAGCCGGCGCCGGAGTCTGCCCGGCGTGGAGTGCGGACCAGGCGGCGGGGCCGGGCAGTGAGGTCTGGCGGCGGCGTGAAGCAGGTACGCGGCGGGGATGGCGGCGGGGATGGCGGCGGGGATGGCGCGGCGCCGGCGCCTCCGCGGGGGCTGATGGGGCGCGCGGGCCGCGGCGGAGGAAGGGGTGCACGGCGGCCCGCGGGCTACCCAGGGGGCTGCGGGAGCGCCGGCCGGGCGGGAAGCCGGGCCCGCGACTGGGGGGTGGGCTCGCGGCGACCTATGGCGGCTGGCTGGGCGGCCCAGGTCGCCCTGGCCGCCCTTGTGGTCCCATACGCCTGGGCGGGGAGGCTCCACGGTTCGAGGGGCTTGGGGCACCTGACCTCCGCGGCCGCCCTCGGTTACTCCCACGTGGAGGAACTGGTCCAGGTGGAGGCCTGAGGGCTCAGCGGACCCCTCTCCGGGAGTCCGGAGTCAGCTTCCAGTGCATCTGCCTCGCTGCTGGTGATGTACCCTGGTTTATAACCGGCCACACGCCGACTCTCAGCGGCCTGTGTGAGTGGTCCCCTGCGCTCCCTCCCCCCCGGGCTTTCGTGACCCTCTTTTTCAAAACCAGGCCCCCAGCAGCGGGGGAGTTCGCTCACGACCGCCCTTTGCATTGCGGCACATGGTCTGTGAGTAGTACCTCCGTGGCACAGCAGGGAGCACCTGGACTCCCCCGCCCCCCATCATTATCCCCTGCTCTCTGAGGCGGCGAGATTTATCGCACCGTCTTTGCCTTTGGCTAGTGAACCATCTACCAAGCCTGTGTTTCTGGGTGAAGTTTGTTGGGACTAAAGTTCAGTTCTTTGACCAGATCAGTAAGATAAAGGCATTCTGTTTAAGACGAGTAAAAGAGGTACTTGAGAAATGGCCTGAGTCAAAACATAGAAACTTTTTTTTAACCGACGGCGCTTGAGTCTAGACACACATACCCTTTGCTCCCTGGAATCAGCTGTCTGCTTTTTGAGAGCGTAATAAACTCTGACAGGAGAACCATTCATTGCAGTCAATCAGAGGTGTGGTATAGGGGAGAGGCCAGGAAGGCTTGGTTTCTAGGTCAGTCTTGAACCTAACAAGTTAGTGACCTTGAACATTAAGAGCTTTCACTTATTCTTAGATAAGAGAGAGGTAAGCAATCAATAAGTATATTTCGTGATTATATCCATCAAAGAATATTTATTGAATTCTTATGCCTGTGGCACATCCTGAAGGAAATAAAGAGAAAGTTGTAGGACATCATTAGTGCCTAGAAGAAGCACACCTGACATTTGTTGAGCATCTGTTGTACCCAAGATTCCATGCATTGTCTGATTTAATTCTCACAATAATCCCGAGAGGTTCTTTCTGTTACTGTCCCTGATTTACAAAAGAGGAAACTGAGGCTTTGAAAGATTCAGTAACCTTCCAAAAGGCACACAGCTAGCATAGCAAGCGCAGAGCTGAAACCCCAATCTGTCCAACTCCACAGTCCATGTTCCCTCTCCAGTTTACCATGCTGTCAGTGGGAAGTTTATAATCCAGGTGGAAAAAGCAAAGTAACACATAAACCAGTTAAAAGCTAACCTGTAGGATTATATCTAATTTTGAATGCTAGAACTGCTGAGAAAGTTTTCATGAAGGAGACAGAACTAGAATTTTAGTGTCTCAATTTGATTCTTTTATCTTCTTGGCATTCCTGTTAGAGAATTCATGTGTAAATAATTGTTTAGCAACAATTACTGAAGGAGGGATGCCTGGGTGCCTCTGTCGGTTAAGCATCAAGCATCTGCCTTTGGCTCAGGTCATGATCCTGGGGTCCTGGGATCGAGTCCCGCATCCGGCTTCTTGCTCGGCGGGGAGCTTGCTTCTCCCTCTCCCTCTGCTGCTCCCCCTGCTTGTGCATGCGTGCTCTCTCTCTCTCTCCTTCTCTCTGACAAATAAATAAAATCCTTAAAAAACAAAAACAATTACCAAAGGAATTTATATAAGCAGCACACAAAGACCATGGGCTTATGTCCTCCTCAAATGTTATGCAGATAATTTTCTCTTGGGATCTTCCAGACTGTCACAAACTGAAGTCAACAAAGACAGCACTTAACACTTTCTGTTGCCTATTGGATGACATATCTTTTACAGCAGATGTATCCTGCCAATCTTTTCTCTCCCCTTTCTGTGCCTTTGTGCAATATAAATTGAAGAGCCATACATGCCACTCCTTGTTTCTCTTCACTATGGGGCTAATTGCTAGTCTTTTGAGACACATTTAAGAGGGTTGGAATATATTCACCAATCCATAGAGCAAAAGTTAAAAAGAAGCTTGCAAGCAAAGAGGGTGCAGTGTTTTTCTTATCTTGTGAAAACAGCAATGTCCCTGTAGCATGAGAGCTACAATAATGAATGGCTTATTCTCCATGCATATATAGGAGGGAGCCCCCTACCTTTTTGTGAAATAAACTATTCTTTATCTAAAGCCTCAAGTTTGACCCAGGGCCGGAAAATGCCCATAACCACCATATTCCCAGCTCAGGTCTCTAGCCATGTACTCATCCTCTACGGGATATGCCTATAGTCATTTAAGATGCCAACCATTTGCAGGCATTGCACTCCTTCCAGGCATGCAAGAGTATGCTTTAGATTCCTGTGGGCAGCAAGAAGAAAGATGACAGTAGCCTCTGGCCTTTCCATCCTCTTCTTGTGTCAGCAGGGGTCAAACAGACATTTCAAATATGTGGTTTTCAGAGCTTTTTGGGGAGGTGATAGCAGGAAGGTGGAGATGGCCGCTTATTGGATGTTAGATCTGTTTTTGATTTGTTTGAGACTCCCTAATGGTGTAGGAATTGTAGTGAACATTTAGTATCCATACATAAACATCGTACTTTAACTTTTTTTTGTCACTCAGAATATGTATAATCCTTAATTGTCATTTGCTTGCATAAAAACTTAAGGAGATCCTAGGAAAGGAAGGATGAGGTGGGACCTGAGAAGGAGCCATTTCTTGTCTCTCTCTTTTCTATATACAGAGCAGGTGGGAGTGTCCCTAATACAAAGGAGTTTGGAGCAGAAGAGTCAAGCTTTTACTCTGAGAGTATGAGGAAGTGGAAGAAAATAAAGTTAATTGCCTATTATTTTCATTTTCATCTTTTAAAAATGCGTTCTACAGATACTTTGATCATTGACCACATCGCAGCATGTTGAGTCAAGTCTACTGCTCCGGGTCCCAGCCCTTCCGCCAGCGTCTCCTGCCCTGGGTCCAATCCACAGCCCTCTCCAGATCTCGTATGTACCGTAGGAAACTTAGAAGGATGTGGGAAGTTTGGAAGTGTTTCAAGCAAGGTTTTAAAGGAGAAAAAAACATAATTTGGCAGATTCGGACAAAGACAGTAAGCAAGGAAGCAGCCAGTGGTGAAATGTTCTGAGTGTTTGTATTTATCAATAAAGTGAAACTTTTGGAGGTGATAGCTTTATGGCATCAACTGTGGTGATGGTTTCACAGGTGTATACTTACAGAATCATCAAGTTGTACACATTAATTTTGTACAGCTTTTTGTAAGCCTAATTATTTAAAATTTAAAAATTTTTCAAGTAAGATGTTACCTATATTTGTTTTCCAAGGTTTTTTACAGGCTATTTTTGTTCATTACCTTTTTTTTTGTAGTTAGTTTTAATTTTGAGACTATTGTAGATTCATGTGCTATAGTAGGAACTAATACAGAGAGATTCCTTATGCCCTTTACATGTTTTTCCAGTTTCTCAATCCAGATATTGACATTGATATAGTCAAGATAAGAACGTTTCCACTACTACAAGATCCCTCACTTTTCTCTTTTATGGCTGTCCTCCTCTTCCCCATCCCTAGCCCTGGCAACCACTAATCTGTTCTCCATTTCTATAATTTTGTCATTTCAAAAAATGTTATATAAATGAAGTTATACAGTATGTGGTCTTTGGGATTGGGTGTTTTTACTCAGCATAATTCCCTGGAGATTCATCCAAGTTGTTGTGTATATCGGTTGGTTCCTTTTTTTTTTTTTTTAAAGATTTTATTTATTTGAGAGAGAGAATGAGATAGACCATGAGAAGGGGGAGGGTCAGAGGGAGAAGCAGACTCCCCGCTAAGCAGGGAGCCCGATGTGGGACTCGATCCCGGGACTCCAGGATCATGACCTGAGCCGAAGGCAGTCGCTTAACCAACTGAGCCACCCAGTCGCCCTCGGTTGGTTCCTTTTTATTACTGGGTATACCACAGTTAGTGTAACTATTCACCCATTGAAGGGCATCTGGTTGTTTATTTTTTACTGGTATGAATAAGGCTGCTGTGAGCATTTGTGTGTAGGATTTTGTGTGGACAAAGTTTGCATTTCTCTGGGATAAATGCCAAAGAAGTTCAGTTGCTGGATCGTATGGCAGTTGCATGTTTAGTTATATAAGAAACTACCAAACTGTTTTTGCAGAATGGCTGTACCATTTTACATTCACCCCAGTGGTGTATGAGCAGTCCGCTTTCACTTCATCCTCATCAACATTTGATGTTGTCACTCTTTCATTTTAGCCATTGTGATAAGTGTGTAATGATACCTCGGTGTGGTTTTAACTTGCTTTTCCCTAATGGCTAATAATGTTGAACATCTTTTCCTGTGCTAGTTGGCCATCTTCATATCCTCTTTAGTGAAATGTCTTTTTCTCATTTTTAATTAAATTGTTTGTTTTTTTACCTTTGGATTTTTAGAGTTCTTTCTCTTCTAAATACTAGTCCTTTACAGATATGTGGTTTGAAAGTATTTTCTCCCAGTTTATAGCTTATCATTTCATTCCTTTAACAGGATTTTTCACAGAGGAAAGATTTTTTTTTTTTTTGATGATGTCCCATTTATCAATATTTTCTTTCATTGATTGTACATTTGGGGTCAAGTCTAAGAGCTTTGTGTAGCCCTACATCCTGAAGATTTCCTCCTATGTTTTTTCTAAAAGTTTTATAGCTTTACATTTTACATTTAAGTGTGTGATCCATTTTGAGTTAGTTTTTGTATAAGGTGTAGGGTTTAGGTCAAAGTTCATGGTTTTGCCTGTGGACATCTAGTTATTCAGCAGCATTTGTTGAAGGGCTATGTATCATGTTTTGAGTGGCTGTCTCCTTGATAGCAATTAAATCTTACCAATAGTCTGTCTCCAGACCTTATTGTAAGAGAACTTGCTTATCAACTAATGAAGCTTATCATCATCATCATAATAGAAAAAAATTTCTATTTCCCATTCGCATAAAGAATATGAGAAAAGATCAAGGTCTGGAGCCAGGGGCCCTGGGTTTTAAAATTAGCTGTGCTACTTACTTACTAAGTAACTTTAGTGACTTAAAACAACTGTAGATTTAGGTAACAATTCTGTGTTGGACCCAGCTCAGCTGCACAGTGGTTCTATGTCTGTGTCAGAACTCTTTGGCTCAGGGCTGATTCTTGAGGGCTGGGCGACCTCTGCTGGGATGATGGATCACCTCTGTTCCATGTGGTCTCTCATCCTCCAGCAGACTAAACATGACTTCTTCATAGGATGCTTTCAGGGTTCCCAAATAGAGCATGCAGGGAAGCCACAAGGCCTCTTGAGGCCTAAGCTCAGAATTTATGCAGTGTTACTTCTGCTATATTTTATTAGTTAAAAGAAGTCATAGGGCTGGCCCAGATTCAAGGGGTGGGAGAACAGATTCTACCTGTTGGTGGAAGAAGTTTCAAAGTATTGTGGCCATTTTTGCAGTCTGGTAATGTTAGCAAGTTACTTAGCTTCTCTGGCCTCAGTTTCCTTATTTATAAAATGAGTCTAATAATAACACCAACTAACTCATACCTAACTCATGAGACTTAAGTCATGAGAATTCAGTATGATGACAGCAATAGTGGACACTTTTTTTTTATAATATCAGCTAATACTTATTGAGTGTTTATTTTGTGCCAATTTTTGTTCATCAATTCATTTTATCCCCTACAGCAACCTTATGAGATAGGTAAGGTAACAGCAAATAAGCAGAAGGATTGAGATTCCAACCCAGATAGTCTAGCTCCAGAACCTACACCTGTCCTTTTGTATATCCTCTGCCTCTGTAAAAGATGTGTGAATACCTAACACAGCTCTTAGTATATAGTAAGTATTCAGTATTTTTATTGTTATTATTGTTTATTCTTATTAGTCTAATTCACAGAAAGAGGTACTTTCTGATCTTTTCTCTAGATTTTTCAATTTTTGTATCCAGATTTCTCTAGATTCCAGAGCCCTAGAAAGGCCAAGTGAGAAAGCATATACATATAAACACAGAAGAAAATGGAAGGCCAGGAAGGGAGATAGAAATCCTGTCAGGGTCCTCTCTTGTTCAGGCCTGGAACACAGGCTCATTGATTGCTGAGCACAAGGACTCTGATGCTGAAAAGGTAACAGACTTCTCCCTTGGAGTACGGTGCATGGCATTTTTGAGGAATATGGACAACCCTCTTCTCACCCCACCCCCAATACGGTGCACACACATACCTCTCATACTAACCAGGAGGAGATGGCTTTTCTGTGGGACTTAGAGCCTAAAGGTTCGCTAGAAGATGGGAAGAGATTGCCCCTCCAGAAGCCTTGGATTTTTCCTAACTAATCAAGGCCTTCTCAGTCCTCAATATGGACTCTAAAAAGTATGAAACACTGTAAAACATTAAAAAAAAAAAAATGCCCCCAAGAAAGGTAGGATCAATCTGGGGGTAATACAGGTCCTCTGCGTTGTTGAACAGGAAGCCCAAAAAGCCCTGGATCCCACAGAACTCTCCCCGGTGCTAGAATCCACTGGATGTAACTGATCCTTTACTTGCTTGAAACCTTATTCATAGTTGTTTCCTCTTGAACCTTGTCAGCCCTGATCTGCTGATATCCATTTGCCTATAGCCAGAATGACCCTTGACTGCCTGGCGCCCAGGTGTGCTGGTATCTTTGCTGATAAAAACTGTGGATCAGGAGCCTATTTCATGCTAACCTGGCCTGCTAGATTCTGATTGGATTCTGCCATTTGATCACCTGGACTGACATGCTTGCCACTATCTGTGTCTTACCCTGCTCCACCCATGCTTAGCACTCTCCAGGACAGGATAAGGCCTGCAGGGACAGGAAAGAAAAATGGCTATCAGGCCTAGTCCTGACAGCTATCAAAGGGATACTTGGTACTTGGGTGTAGCTCTGAGCTTTGCAAATAGCCACCAACATCCCAGGTCCAAACCTTAGGGAAGTAAGTCTCTCCCTCTGCCACCCCTCTTTCTATCAGGTCAATGAGGCCAGAATTACTATGTATACAACTTTTAAGCTTAGACTGAGGTGTATATATTGCTTATAATAATATCACTGAAGACTGATGAACTTATTGAAGAAAGGGAACTCTCCACAGAACTTAGCCCCAACAACAAACCAGCCTGGTAGTCCCTGGGACTCCCCCAGCAGGAAGAGACAACCCATCTGTGGGTCCAGCAAGGGTGTCAGGTCCCAGTTCCATCCCAGAAGATGGACTTACTTTGTGCGAGGAACTGGACTGCAAACCTGTTGTGAAAAAAAGACCATATCATCTCTCTTGTGTCTCCACAAACCTGAAACATAATCACTTTTTATTTTTATTTTTTTTAAAGATTTTATTTATTTATTTGACAGAGAGAGACACAGCGAGAGAGGGAACACAAACAGGGGAAGCGGGAGAGGGAGAAGCAGGCTTCCCGCAGAGCAGGGAGCCCGATGTGGGGCTCGATCCCAGGACCCTGGGGACCCTGGGATCATGACCTGAGCTGAAGGCAGACGCTTAACGACTGAGCCACCCAGGCGCCCCCATAATCACTTTTTAAAGTGGTCATTTAAGAGAGGGAAGAAAGGACTCTTTACTGCTTCATTAAAAATATTCATTCTAAGATTTGTGTGTGAAGGAGGCAGGGAGGAGAACACACAATGATCTTCTGGTCCATGAGAATAAGATTCTGCTCACTTTACCCTCCATTGTTACAGCATAGAGAAAACAATAGAAGCTACATTAAAGTTAGAGGAGTTAGTGGTCAGGAGTTAGAGGTAGTGGCTCTAGAGAAATCTGGGAAATCTGTCCGTAAATATAAAGGGAGGTGATAATGGTTGATCCGAGTGGAGGAAGTTACTCTGCAATAGTACCAGTGTAGAGTAGTGGCTTGGAATGATTACTATAGTAATTCATTCAAGTATTTATTAATTGCCTGTAATGACACATAGAGAACTCTTTGAGGAGGAAGTACCTAAAGTTTAGTCCCGCTGAGGACCTGTACTACTCATCTTGACTTGCTTCTTGCAATCAGGGAATCCCTCCAAGAGAAGGTCCACTTGTTGTGAGTGAGACCGTCCATTAGCAAGGCCTCACCTGCCCCTCTGCCTGGGCACTCTTTCTGCTGAATCAGTTACAGTTAGGTCAGGTGTGTGTAATAAACTCCAAAATAATAATGGCTCAAACAGGATAGAAGTCTATTTCTCTCTTTTTTAAGAAGATTTTTATTTTTAAGTAATCTCTACACCGAATGTGGGGCTCGAACCCACAACCCCGAGATCAGGAGTTGCATGCTCTACCCATGGAGCCAGCCAAGCACCCCTCTCTCTCTTTCAAAAGGAACCTGGGGTTCTCTAAGAAGGGAGGCAGCCCAGGGCTTTCAGAATAGCTCTGTGAAATCATTAGCACTCCTTTCTTGTTATTCCAAAGTTCTTGATGTTTTCCTTGTAGTCTAAAAATATGTTTGAGCTGCTGCCTCATACCCATGTTCTAAGCAGCAGGATGGATGAAGGGAAGAAGGAAGCACTTCTCTTTTGAATGAAATTCCTAGAAGTCCCACATAACATTTTCACATGTATATCACTAACCAGAACTTAAGTCCCATGGCCATGTCTAGCTGCACAAAAAGTCTGGGAAATGTAGTCTTTTGACTGGTGGCGGTGTGCCCTGCTCAAAGTAGAAAACTCTCTTCATTTGTGAGAGAAAGGGCTAATGCATAATTAGTAAGCAGCCAGCAGGAGGAGTTGGACCCTTGAGAAGTGGCTGACATTCAGCTTCTACTGTTTTACCTTTGGGTTTATGTAGATAAATCTTTAGCTTTTTAAACAAGACTGTGTATACCTATATATGAGTGTGTGTGTATGTGTGGGTATATATACATAGATAATATTTGCTTCCTTAGAAATCCTGTATAGCATTGCAAGAAAAAAGAATCAGGAAAGGATTGCTTAGAGGCAGATATCCAGAAGGATTGAAAATATCTGACTCCAACATTCCTTGTCCTTCAGAAAGCTATCCCATTTTTTTTAACCATTGTTAACAGACATCTGGAATCATGCTACCATGGCAGAGAGAAAATTTGTAGGTGGATTAGTCATGATTTTTTACTACTCATACCAATTACTTCGCTGTTTATTGTCTTTGCTAGTCAGGCTCACTCTCTTTTTATAGTGGTGTGGTTTCTTTAAAAGCACACATTTTTTTTGATGATAAAAGCAGTGTATTTCTATTGCTTAAATTTGGAAGACATAGACAAGAATAAGGAAGAAAATTGAAATCACTTGTGATTCCATCAAAATAAAACATTAACATTTTGATTTATTTTCATCTTTTTTCTGTGCATTTAGACACATAGGAAACTTCATGAGCATTTTCCTGTTATTAAAAATTATGGAAAAGTTAATTAATCCTGCCTTTTTTGGATGTTTACCCTGCTTGTGATTTTTCCTGTTATAAATAACACTGATGAACAGCCTTCTGATAAATCTTTTTGTTTCCATCTCTAATTAGTTTCTTAGAATAAATTTCCGAACAAAGAATTACTGGATCAAAAGATGTGAACATTTTTAAGACTTTTGATATATTTTGCCAACTTGTCTTGAGGAAAGATTGTTGTGTTTAAACTCTTCACAGTGTTTGAGTGTATCTGGGACCTGTGTACTGGGTGTAATATTAGAATAAGAACATGCTGGATATACTGGCTTTTGATTTACTGGTTTTAGTCAGTTAAGAATGATAAAACTATTTTTTGGCTAAACTGGTTAATATTGTATGTGTATCTTTTTAATGAGAAATTTGTATTAAATATTTCTCTTTTTTCTTGCATTTGACTTTGTTTGGGAGCTACAGATCGTGTCCAGCCTTCAGCCATCAGACATGTTCGTTCTTGGAGCAACATCCCCTTTATCACTGTACCCCTCAATCGTACACATGGCAAGTCTTTTGCCCACCGCAGTGAGCTGAAGCATGCCAAGAGAATCGTGGTGAAACTCGGAAGTGCTGTAGTAACCCGGGGGGATGAGTGTGGCCTTGCCCTGGGGCGCCTCGCATCTATTGTTGAGCAGGTAATTGCCAAGATGGAAGATTCTGGTGAACAAAAATAATACGGAGTTTTTAAGCCATCAGTTCAGGTTTGTTTGGTTTTTTTCCAACCCTAATTTTATCCCTAACCCATCCTAACCATCAGTTCAGGTTTATCAGCTCGTAAAAATAATTTGAGTACAATAGATGTAACCCAATCTGAAAATTACCTTTCCAGTAAAGGTACAAGTGGACCCAGCATCCCAGGGCAAACAAAGGGGATGTTAAGGAGTAAAGTTGATTTCATGCTATTCATCCCTCAGGCTTCTTAGTGATAAGGCGCTGTATATGTCAGTGATTCTTAATCCTGGCTACACATTAAAATTGTCTGGAGGAGCATAGAGATTCCTAGGCTTCACACTCAGTCTCTGGGATGGGGCTCAAGCACCTGGATTTTTAAAGTTCCCCAAGTGACTGGTATGTTGAGTTGAGCACCCAAGGTTGAGTACCCAGATGGATGTTTGTGAATATTGAGCTTTTTTTGTTCCTGTTTTGCTAGGCTTTTCCTTTTTTAATTAGGCCAGTAATATTGAAATAAATATGAGCTATCATTGCAAAGATTTTCCAAGTTCAGATATTTGAAAGGATTCAGCAGACTCCACAGAGAATACCCATATAAGACTTCCATTTAAAGGCAGAGGATACCAGGCAGCAAGAGAGAGAGTGCAAGCAGGCATTGGGCGTCTGAGAGACATGTATGCACAAGCACTCCAATGTTTTTATTTGCACAGGGACCACAGTCTGTCTCGAGACTGAATTACTAAGAGATCTGTGCAGGGAATCTTACCTTTGGAAGGGCTCAAAGCAGAAGTTTCCAGTGGGAATTTTATGCCCCACTGGCTATGCGAGCAAGCAAGGCTGACTGTAGACTATCAGTAAAGAAACTGACCTTTAGGGGTGACATGGGAGTTTTAGACTTTAAACATCATATTACAGATCCCACTACCTATCTTTGCCAAGAGCAGGTATCAGTAAACTTTTTTTTTTATGAAAGGCCAAATAGTAAATATTTTAGGCTTTGTAGGCCAGATGGTCTCTGTCTCAGCTACTTGTCTCTACCATTGTAGCACAAAAGTAACCATAGACAATATGTAAATGAATGGGCATAGCTGTGTTCAAGTAAAACTTTATTTACAAAACCAGGTGCCAGTGAGATTTGACTCTGCTGATATTTATAAAAGACAGAGACTTCATTGACATGCAACTGCCTCAGGGAATGACCTACTTTATTTCCCATTCTCCCTGGTGAGACCACCACTACTGCTTTCAAGCTTACTTCCTCCCTGGCCCACCAGCATGTCATACTCATTCCTTTCCTTGTCCCCCACCTGGAATTCACTCTTAGAGCCTCCTCTTCCTCAGAACCCCTTGGTTGCACAACTCCAGGGGCACCATTCACACCGTGTACTTAGCAGCAGTTGCAGATCCTCTCAGTCCTGGAAGCCCAGGCTGAGTCCCAGCTCTCTCCGAGGAGGCCTCAAGAGTAACTACACTCTGATTTGACTTTCCCATCTTTGGACCCCTCAGTCACTGTCATTTGGCAAGCTGAAAAAATTGGAGCAGTGTTATAACTGATGAGATCTTTTATGTTGAGGAGTTATTGAAATGTTTTAGGTTTTTGGATGTATGCATATATACTCTGTCTTTTAGCAATTACTGCTGAAATATTTATAGATGAAATAATATGTCCGGGGACTGGGATTTGTATTAAAATAATGGCAGGGCTACTGTACAGGCAGTACTAGAGACTGGGAAATTGGCATGAGAGATAGTCGTTGAAGCTGGGTGTTGGGTACATGGCGATTTATAATACTATTCTTAGCACTGTGGTTAAGTATGAAATTTTCTTTTTTTTCCCGTGGTACATTTGTTTCTATTTTTTAAAGTAAGTTATTCATTCATTCATTCGTTCGTTCATTTTAAATAATCTCTATACCCAGCGTAGGGCTCGAACTCACAACCCGGGATCAGGAGTCGCATGCTCCTCTGAATGAGCCAGCTTCTGGGGCTCAAACATCAGGAGGAATGGACATATTAGGAATATGGACTCTATTTGCAGCTTGAATCTTTGATTCTTCCAATGTAGATCTGTCCAAAGTAGGGAACAAAGTGACCACAGCTGTATCTGGGCAGACAGAGCAGAACAGGGTCAGCATCTGTCCTTGGTCTAGCTAAAGTGACCCATAGGGATCAGTATAACTCAGAAAGAGCCTCAATCTTCCACATCATGCCTTAGAACCTGAGAAGCCATCTGCTAAGTTTACATTGCAGTTCTTAGCTCCAGACTTCTTTTTCTGGAACTGCTAGACTTTCTGCATTATAGACTCCCACAGATACCATCAAGTGCCGTGGATGTCAAAGCTGCCTGCACACCAGAATCCCCTTATTCAAAATTCTGACCTCTGTCTATTCTCTTTATCAGATTTGAGTAGCATGTAGGAATCTGTATTTTTACCAGACAACCTGGGTGATTCTTGCAGAGCCAGCCTAGTGCTGATCCATAAACCGGCATTTGGGATCCACTCAGTTATCTACCCTACCTGAGTCCCTTGTGAAGAGAGGAAAGAGATGATACAGTGACTCATGCCTTTTCCCTCCTCAATGTCAGGTGTCAGTGCTCCAGAATCAAGGCCGAGAGATGATGCTGGTGACCAGTGGAGCCGTAGCCTTTGGCAAGCAGCGCTTGCGCCATGAGATCCTTCTGTCTCAGAGCGTCCGGCAGGCCCTGCACTCGGGGCAGAACCAGCTGAAAGAGATGGTGAGTGCTGCTTCCCCAGCCCCTGTAACTGGTCAGCAGGCCTCTTTCCCTCACTCCCAACCACACCATATCTATTTGTGTGTTACAGGCAATTCCAGTCTTAGAAGCACGAGCTTGCGCAGCCGCCGGACAGAGTGGACTGATGGCCTTGTATGAGGCCATGTTTACCCAGTACAGCATCTGTGCTGCCCAGGTGAGAGGCTCGCCATTGCAGAGAGGTGTGGGACCTGTGAAGGTGATTCCCGTGGAGCAGAGGTGTGATGAGCAAGGCTCTAGAGCTAGACTGCCTTAACTTCACCACTTGCTAGCTGGGAAATTTGGAGAAAGTCTTTAGGTCTAACCTTTTTGTGCCTCAGTCTCCTCATCTGAAAAAAGAAGATAATATCAGTGCCTACTTGAGAGGGTTTTTGGAAGAAGTCAGTGAGAAAATATAGGAAAAGCATTTAATGTAGCGTTGTTTCCAGTAATTATTAGCACTTGGTATTGTGCTAGTAACTGTTATGGCTACTACTTTAAGTGTTTATCCTTCTCCTGAAGACAGGGAAGTTAGATGTCTTTTTTTTTTTAAGGTATTATTTATTTGACAGAGAAAGACACAGCGAGAGAGGGAACACAAGCAGGGGGAGTGGGGAGGGAGAAGCAGGCTCCCCGCAGAGCGGGGAACCCGATGCAAGGCTCGATCCCAGGACCCCAGGATCACGACCTGAGCCGAAGGCAGACGCTTAACAACTGAGCCACCCAGGCACCCCAGGAAAGTTAGATATCTTTATTTCATTGTCTTCTTTGACCTCAGGCAGCTTGCTTCTCTTTGTACCTGGTTGCCTTATATAATAAATTTCTACCAAGCATTGAAAAGAGAGGAGTGCTTATCATTGGTTTTCATTCATTCAGCAAATATTTATTGAGCACTTATGGTATACCAAGAAGTATGTTAGTCATTGGAGATGCTGTGATAAACAAATCAACCATGGTTCCAGGCCTTATGAAACTTGTACATTTTTAGTGGTTGCCCCTGAATGTTCTAGAACTTTCTTTCCACATTGTTTTTTACCTAAATTTCCAGAATTATTTTTTCAGTTGTATCTTTGATTATCAATACAACTACACACTAGAAACACGTAAATATCACAAGACAACTAAGTCATTTCACAAAATAGTTGAAAAAAATTGAATTCCCCAAGTTACTGTCTTCCAACTCGTTTGCTGTTCCTGATCCTACCATTTACACAGATGTTATTTTACATATTTGATGTTGTTATGTATACATCCTTTCAGATTTTGGTCTTTCATTTCCTACTGCTTTTTCTGTTTCTTCATAATTCTCACAGTGTTATCCACAGTGACGTTGTGGTATTGTTCCAAAGTGTCCTTGAGTAGGTGAACTGCAGCAGAAAGGCATGGACTTGTCCACCTGTTGTCTGTAGCTGGGGACCCCACTCATATTTTTTTCTTCCTGTTAGCATAAATATAATAGAAATCTCAATTTCTGTCAGCCGCTATTATCAGCTCTCCTCTTCTCCACAATCCAATGGCAATTTCAGCCTTTAATTTTTTTAAAAGTATCTGGAGCCAGATGAGGAAACTTAGGTCTAGTAACTATACTTTTGTTTTGTTTTTTCCTGGGTATGATGTTTTTTGAGGGGTTTTTGTTTTTTGGTTTTTTTTTTGGTTGGTTGGTTTTAATGAAAGTAGCATTGAAAGTCGCTGCACATCAGCCATGGCTTCCATTAATATTGATGTGAAAGAGCTCTGTCCCCTCCAGTTTGCAACAGGCATCCATCTGTGGGTCCATCTCACACGTTTGCCTTCCCTAGGATCTTATCTGCAAGAAATCTTTGATCTTTGCCCTCTGTACCTTTTCCTGTGGTTCCTTTTTGTCTTTAGTAATCCTGTTTTAAAGATTATTATCAGGGGCACCTGGATGCTCAGCCGGTTGAGCATCCGACTCTTCATTTCAGTTCAGGTCATGATCTTGGGGTCATGGGATTGAGCCCTGCATCGGGCTCCACACTTAGCAGAATCTGCTTGGGAGTCTCTCTCCCCCCGCCCCCCCCCTCCCGCTTGTGTGCACGCGCATGCTCTCTCTCTCTTTCTCTCTCTCCTCTAAAAATAAATTAATAAAATCTTTTTTTTAAAGATTTTATTTATTTATTTGACAGAGACACAGCAAAAGAGGGAACACAAGCAGGGGGTGTGGGAGAGGGAGAAGCAGGCTTCCCGCTGAGCAGGGAGCCCAATGCGGGGCTCGATCCCAGGATCCTGGGATCATGACCTGAGCCGAAGGCAGATGCTTAACGACTCAGCCACCCAGGTGCCCCAAATTAATAAAATCTTAAAAAAAATAAAGACGGTTCTCAGTGGCTTTTGGAAATCTCCACCAAGTTATTCGTCAGGTTAAAGACTTAAACGAGTAATGCAGCTTATTTTTTCTTCATAAAAATGAAATTGATTTGCATCCTAACAGACTGCACTTCTCCACTTCTCTCTTAGGGCTCTTATCTTCTACTCCTTCTTTGTTAAACTGTTTGAGCAACAGGTATTTTCACTGGACCTTAATATCTCCTGCTTGCCTGTCCGACACACACGTTTATTTTATCATTTGACCTTTCACCCCCCATGGCTAGAATCTATATGCTTGCCTTTGACCTGGTCCTATTTCCTACAGGACTGACTTTCCTGAAAAAGAGTTCGTGATCTAGCCTTACAAAAAATGTGCCCCATTCCACCTTCCCCAAACCATCAACAGTTTTATTCTCTATCTCAGCAGCTCATATAGGGCCTGACATTTCTGAAGTACTGAATAAATTTTTTCCCAATTTATGAGTAGATTATTTCCCTTAGTTGTGTTATCATGGTCTTCCTTACCTCCATTTTGTGTATCATTAAGGCTGCTGTTATCTTCTCTGTTACCATAACCAGACCCTCAGTGCTTAACTATGCCTACCTTCACTGTCTGGGTACCTTCTTTCTTGACCGTCTGCCTGCCGCCTTTCCTACTTCAGCCACATTGCAAGAACCTTTTTCCTTAAACATCAGAGAGATTTCATTGAAACATTTATTCATGAGCTTCAGGGCTTATTACCATTAGTTTCTTGCTATCCTCAGTTACCTTCTCCTGCTAACCATTGCCTAATACTCTGATTTAAACAAGGAAGTGGAGCTGTCTGCCCACCCCCACATCCAGCTCTCCCCTGGACCTTTGAGTAGCTGTGCTCATCGCCTCCCCTGAACTAAGTTATGTCTAGCCCTTCTTTCAGTTTCTGACTGAAGACTCGCCTTCATAAACCTCTCAGACCAATCCCACACGCTCAGACAGTCTTTGCTGACCGGAGCCATGGGGACAGCACAGCCCTCTTCCGTTTTGTCTCCTACACTTCTTTGGGCAGGACAAACTTCTTTTGCTCACACACCTCATGTTTCAGTGCCTACTGTGGCTAGCCCCTGAATCCAATGCTAGGATACAGAGATATTTTAGAAATAATGGATGGCCATCACTTCCTCCAAAGTGTATCTCTCTAAAGTTCATACATTAATTTTCTTAATTCTGTAAATAGAAGAGATTTAGTAGCTCTTTGAGAATTAAAGTACTTTTACAAGAAGTCTTGAGCATCCTTAAATATTCCAAGTGATGCATTTTTTTCCCACCTCTAAATGAATTAGATAAGTATCCAGAGATGTGTGTTCCATTTCGATCTGTATGGGATCCAGAAACCTAGAGTTTAACTCCTCTCTTCTTAGCATCTTTTGTATGTTGTTGCTGTGATGTTCATAATTTCCCTCCCTTCTGCATTTTCAATCCATTTAATAACTTATAGATTTTGGTGACCAACTTGGATTTCCACGACGAGCAGAAGCGCCGGAACCTTAATGGGACACTTCATGAGCTCCTCCGAATGAACATCGTCCCCATTGTCAACACAAATGATGCTGTCGTGCCCCCAGCTGAGCCCAATAGTGATCTCCAGGGGGTAAATGTGGGTAAAGTATTCCTAAGGGTTGAGCATGCTGGAGACTAATGCTATGCTGCATGTACTAACACCGGAAGTTTGGCATAAACAAGATGGAGAAATTGGGACAGAAGCTGGCCTCACGGAGCAGTGGCTGCATAAGCTCCTCTGAAGTCAGGGGGGTCTCATTGAACAGGGTGAGGTGCTACAGTGATTTCAGGTGGTGCTGTGAGCATGGCTTGGCGTGGCAGTGGAGCGAAGGGTGCGTGTTTGGAAATGGGGTGGCCAGTAGGCACAGTGTTTTGCAGACAGAAGGGGCCTATAAAAGCTGTCATCCATGCACTCGGTCATTAATTTTGCCTGCCAGAACCTAGCAGAATGCTGTGAACACCTTGAACTGCCCAGTTCACTCACTTTTGACTTTTTACCTGCATTCCAGGTTATTAGTGTTAAAGATAATGATAGTCTGGCTGCGCGTCTGGCTGTGGAAATGAAAACTGACCTCCTGATTGTTCTTTCAGATGTAGAAGGTACAAAGTAATGCCCTTTCCTTTTATCTAACCTTTGTTTTAAATACTAAATGGGTGAGGGCGCCTGGGTGGCTCAGTTGGTTAAGCGACTGCCTTCGGCTCAGGTCATGATCCTGGAGTCCCTGGATCGAGTCCCGCATCGGGCTCCCTGCTCGGCAGGGAGTCTGCTTCTCCCTCTGACCCTCCCCCCTCTCATGTACTCGCTCTCTCTCATTCTCTCTCTCTCAAATAAAAATAAATAAAATCTTAAAAAAAAATAAATAAATAAATACTAAATGGGTGAGCACATGAATTCCCCTCTTTGTTTGAGTCCTTTTGGTTTTTTTTTTTTACTATGGACCATTATTTTCTGATCCATATGGTCTAACAAAGGGATTTTATGGCTCAAAAGAAGGTGAGGGAATCTGGGAGATACAGTTTGAATGCTAAAATGTTGTCATTTCCAGGCATTTCAGGTTTGTTTTCTTAGAACAGCCTCATACAGATACAATTCAAGTATCATACAGCTCACCTATTTAAGATTTATAATTCAGTTCATTGATTTTTAGTATATTCATACAGTTGCTCAACCCTGACAACAATTTTAGAACATTTTTATCACCCCGTAGGAAACCCCATACCCATTAGCGATCACTCCTCATTTCCACTCTCCAGCCCCAGGCAACCTCTCGTCTACTTTCGGTCTCTATGGAGTTGCCTGTTCTGGACGTTCTTTCAAAGTGGAATCACACAATATGTGTGCTAAATGAAAGAAACCTCTTTCTTTCATTTAGCATCATGGTTTCAAGGTTCATTGGTGGACGTTACAGCATCTGTCAGTACTCCTTTTCTTTTTATTGCCAACTACTACTCCATTGTGCACACGTACCACATTGTGTTTACCCGTTCATCAGGGGATAGACTTATGCTGCTCTAACATTCATGTCCACATTTTTGTGCGAACATGTTTTTGTTTTACCGAGGTGTAGAATTGCTGGATCATTTGGTAATTCTATGTATGTTTAGCCTTTTGAAGAAGTGCCAGACTGGTTTCCAAAGCAGCTGCATCAGTTTACATCCCTGTCAGCTCTGTATGAGGGTTCTAGTTTCTCCACATCCTTGCCGACACTTACCTCTTATAATCTGCCTTTTCGCTGATAGCCATTCGAGTGAAGTGCTCTTTCATTGTGGTTTTGATCACATCCAGTTCTTAATGTAAATCATGAGACCGATGATACTAAAGTGGAGCCACACTGCAGAAGTCCAGGCTGTGTGGCCACCATGGTCCTATATGTTAATCTGTTCTTCCCTGCTTTTGCCTTCCTCAGAGGGGTCCCTCTTGGTTCACTCTTCTCACTCTCTTAAGCTGTTCCCATTTTACATTTTGACCCATAAGGAATATGGTAACTGTGTCTAAAATAGGCCAAACCTAACAGGATCCCAAAAGGCCCCCATTACATTCCCAGGCGATCAGAAAAACCTATTTTGTTCCCAGCCCACACCCAAGGCAGGCTCCTTTGGCAGGACTTGTTTTCCATTTACACACCCGTGGTGTAAGATTAAGAGCAGGGAGCTACCTAGTGGAGGCAGGGGCAGATATAGATTGATTGAGCTGTCTTCTGCCCATGTGGGAAGTCTGATATATCATACATATGTATCAGTTTCTTTACCTGCAAGAAGTCTTGGTACCATGTTTATCCACTGTAAATTTGAAATCTCAGTACAGGAACAGCTAGGTTGGGATAAGAGTGAGCCACTCTAGAGAAGAATGCTTTTCAGTTAATCAGCAGATATTTATTAAATTTCTACTATGCACAAATACTGTGCTAGGTGCTTTATAAATGTCAATTTTTTGAATCCTTATAGCAATCTTGCAAAGTAGATAGGTTAGCTCTGCTATTCAGATGAAGAAATTAAAAATTAAGTTCATACCAGTTAAATGGTATGTCCAAAGTCACACAGTACTTAGCAGAAGCCGATTTTAAAACTAAAACTGTTTAGTTTAAAAATCTATACTCTTCCCTCTCTTCTAGGCTGCCTGGCAAGGTAAAGGACATGAGTTTGAAAGATCAATATATAAAGCCCAATTTGAACTAGACTCTAGTAAACATTTTTAATGCAGCCTCAAACACCAAAATTGGTCATCAATGTGATGGCATATATCAGTACTTTTCTTGTTATTGCCAAATAATATTCCACTCTGTAGATATACCGCATTTTAGTTGCCCATTCATCATTTGGTAGACATTTGAGCTATTATAACTAACCCTGCTATGAACATTCATGTACATAAAACAGGCTTGGGCTATTAACCCTGATTAGTTATCCACTGAATGTTGGTTTTTAGCACAATTTTAGAATTTGAAATATGCTCTTGATGGGTTTGAGAAGCTGCCATAAGGGAAAAAGAGGAGTAGGCAGAATATCAGAATGCTAGGCGCTCCTCAGTGTCTCTGGAGGTCTGGCTTAGAATTGTACAACCTTGCCCATGCTGTTTTTGTATGAAACCAAAACAGCCTCACAATCCAAGTTTGTGATCTCATAGCATAGTGCCTTCTGAGAAGACTCCAGCCCTGAATCCAGGAGCTGTGGAGTGCTGGGCTATGGTGGACAGAGGTTGTGAAAGGTGGTTTTTCTCTCCCTGTAATTGCTGCCATGGTTAGCCCTGCTTCATTCTATACTGGACACCGTTTTCCTCACTCCTCTGATTCCTTTCTCCTAGAGAGGACGTTTATAGCAGGGTTGTGGATTTGGAATAATGAAGCAGAGAAGGCTGTATTTTCACACAGGAAAAGCAGTAACTTAAAAACATCACTGCCTAGATGTCCTTGAGCCAGTCCCCAACCCTGGGCAGTTCCTCTCTGTGTCCCACTAAGGCCTTAAAGTGATTCCATTTTCACAGACCCATGACTTTTCTTTCCAAGCCTCCAGCTTGCTCTTTTTACAAGTGAAATTGTGAAGATTTTTAATCATGGATTGTATGCATATAACATTTCATGTAATTCATATTTTATGTTATTCTATTCAGTTATAAAAGGGACATATGCTTTGTGGTGATAAATCCAGACTGAATACTGAGTCGTGTACTCTTCTGCTGACTCAGCCTAACCTTCACATTGGCTTACCCATAATATGGAGAGTGTAGTCAGTGGCTGTTTCAGAGGGTGCTGTGAGAGTTAATGAAAACCTGTCTCCCATTTCATCCCACTTGGAGATAATCACATTATAGTATACAGCTGCTGTGTGTTTTCTGCAGTGGCTACTCGTCCTTTTCAGTTACTCCCTTAATTCAGCATCATAAGTAGCAGTGGCAGAAGTGAGGACAGCTTCCCAGTAGACAATGGGCAGGGCTGGTAAGTTTTGTGCTAAGGATATGGTCATGCCATGATGCTGGCAAGCATTCATTCATTAAGCCAGGTTATAAAAGTATGTAAGGAGAGTCCTCCTGTTGCTGATTTTCAGCATGGGTAGACTGTACAGATCCCTTCTTCCCTTTTCTGGTTAGAGCTGGTAGAACACAGAATTCATTTCATCAGTCACGTACAGAGTGGTTGGCAGGTGCCCAGGGCGTCTGTATTAGGGGACACTCACTTCCATTACATCAACATTACTGACTCCTGTCTGCTTTTTAGGTCTTTTTGACAGTCCTCCAGGGTCAGATGATGCAAAGCTCATTGATATATTTTATCCTGGAGATCAGCAGTCTGTGACCTTTGGAACCAAGTCAAGAGTAGGAATGGGTGGCATGGAAGCCAAGGTAAGGGTTTGATGCTCTTACTGCCTATAACAGATATAAAACCAAACAGTATTTTACCCTTTTTACTTTAGTGAGTGTTTGGGGACTAATGGTTATGATACTAAGCACATACGTACTTAAATGTGCACGTCTAAATATGGGTTTAATGCATATTGTTTATCTATGTTTAGTCGTGTCTGTGTATTTTCTTACCAAGATTACATAATGCATTCATGCTGTAAACTTGTGAAGGGCAGGGTCTATATATTTTTAATAATTCATAAATCCTCTAATGTTATCAGCTCAAAAGTTTTTTTTTTTAAGTAATCTCTACACCTAACATGGGGCTTAAACTCACAACCCTGAGATCAAGAGTCGCACACTCCACTGACTGAGGCAGCCAGGTGCCCCAGCTCAAATATTTCTTATGAAATCTTTGAGAAATTCTTCCCTCTCATTATTCTAAGAAGTGATACCCTTAAGATACAGCATCATATGTGGCAATGGCAGAGACATACAAAAGAGATACGCAAGCAAAGGCTAAAAGAACTCAGGATCAGACTCTGGTCAGACCAAACACCAGACTGGACACTAAGTTGAGGCACAGTAAGTCCAATGTAGAAGTTATGAGTCCCAGTACTAGAGAGTCTTAGAACACTGAGCACAAAGGGCAGATTGGCTCATTGTTAGGCAGCACACGCTGAAGTTGGGCTGGAAAGAGGGCACGGGCTGAGTGTGTTTTCAGAGCTTCTGAGCTGTTGGAAACATTTGATTGCTCAATATTACATTGTATTCTCTGTTTTTGCAACTTTAAAGTGTGGATGACTAGACCCTGCAAAGGTCTGAATCTAACCTCTCCTATTAGGTGAAAGCGGCCCTCTGGGCTTTGCAAGGTGGCACTTCTGTGGTTATTGCCAACGGAACCCACCCAAAGGTGTCTGGGCATGTCATCACAGACATTGTGGAGGGAAAGAAAGTTGGCACCTTCTTTTCTGAAGTAAAGCCTGCAGGTAAGTAGTTCTTCATAGAGTCCCATGGTCTGTGGATGATAGGTAGCCACACCATGGCCTAGATGAGACTGAAGACTGAGCTCGTCTCTAGGAATAGAGATCACAAAATCAATGTGTTGATATCCTGAATTCTGGTATTGTTTCAAACACTCTTTGTAAAATTGGATTTTGCTTTGCTTCTGTAAAATTTAGCTAACCTGCCCAACTAGGCTTCCTGTTTTCTCTAAAACCACTAATTTAAAGAATATAAGCGTCCATTTTCTTAAGAAACATTTGCTAGGCCCATGCTGGATGCCTAGAGATGCAAAGGTGCATAAGATATGATATGTACTCTCAATTGTTCACAAAAATAGAATTGCCATATAATTTACATTCAGAAACGCAAACACATTAGAGAATGTAAGCCAAAGTGGAATTGAAGGAACTCTACAAGATGTAAATTATGTTGTCCACTTTAGAAATATAGACGTTTCTTATATTTATGCCTGAGTTAATGTAGTATATTCTTTTGCCATTTTATTGGTCCAAGTGATTCTCTGGGAAACAAGCATACCAAGATACTGAGCATTTGTTCTGTGCAAATGCTGGGGTAGCTGTCCATGATCTGATGTTTGCAAATATTCTTACAGGTCCTACCGTTGAGCAGCAGGGAGAAATGGCTCGATCAGGAGGAAGGATGTTGGCCACTTTGGAACCTGAGCAGGTAATAACCCTAGCTAATAGTTTTGTTGGTTTTCAGAGTGAGTCGTTCTGTAAGGTTTAGTGCACAGTCAAGCCTGTCTCCCCTTTCGTTCCTCATGGCCCCACAGAGTTATTCTAGTTACAGGTGTGATTCAGATTTGTTCTGCCTTTGTTCTTTCTCCAAGTTTTATTTTCCCTTTTGTCTTTTGTAGCCTGAGACCTAAGGTTGCTTTTCATCACTATGATGTTTTGATCAAAAACATCATGGAAATGATGAGACCAAGGAGGCTCCCTAATCCTGCCATTGCGGGCATGGAAATGGAGAAAAACTGCTTGTCCTAACCCATCTGAATCACCTAACTTACCTATTAGATGCAAGCTCAGGAGCCTGCTCTCTAGTCAGGGTCCTGCCCACAGTGAATTGGCAGACACGATGAGTCTGGAAATGCGAGGCAGTCAGGTGGAAGCTGGGGATTGGCTTCTCAAGGCTTATGTTGTTAAGGATGGATTTGAGAGTGTATTTAGGTTCTTCAAGGGAGCACTTTGGCCTGAGAAAGAAGAGAATTTAAAATAACTACAAGTAGAGAAAGGGAAGCAAAGGAAGAGCTTAGCTGGTCTCTTAAACTACTTCCTTCTGCTCCTTCAGTAATCACACTCATTTGCCACACTTCTTAATCTAGGTGGGTAAGGATTGGGGTCTCTTCAAGCATCCAGGACTGGGTTTTCTCTCTTAGGCGGAATTCGTTAAATAAACAATTGTGTAAAAGAAAACTTACCTGGGAGATAACTATACAGCCAGTGATTTGAGTATGCGGAGATGGATATATCATGCTGATTCAAAATGCTGGCCCCTTTCTTGGGAACAGATTGTGTCTGTCATTTATCAGGAAGATTAGTAGTGAGAGAGGAAGGGAAAAATGAGGAGAGCCGAGGTGGAGAATGAATGATAGGAGGTAAGGAGATTTCAGTCAATGGTGACCTTGAATTTAGGAGCAAGGCCTGGCTCATTCAGAGGAGTAGGTTTAAAAATATGCTGTGCGTTCTTCTTGGATTAATGTGTTTGCTTGTTTGTTTAATGTTTTACCTTTCTTCCTAGAGAGCAGAGATTATCCATCATCTGGCTGATCTGTTGACGGACCAACGTGATGAGATCCTGTTAGCCAACAAAAAAGACTTGGAGGAGGCAGAGGGTAAAGACCAAGTGATTTGGAGTCAATGTTATGGAGGATTTCGTTTTGGTTTTTGTTCTTTGTTTTACTAATAATTCGTATAGTTTGCCGAAAGACAAGATTGTTATAGAAGAAATTATACATCATACATCATTTTTATTAAGAGTTGCTTGCTAGCATTCATTGGGCTTTTTCAGTTTATACATACCATCTCCAGCTCCTTTCCCAGATACCCTCCAAAGGGCTTTTTCTGTACCCAAGGTCATGAGCCATGTATTCTGTGGCAGTTTCAGGACAAAAAAGCAAGACTGAGGACCGCTTCACTTTAGACATTCCACTAATAGCAGCTAACACTTACTGAGGCCTTTCCATGTTGCCAGGCATTGTGCTAAAGGCTTTACAGACAGGATATCATTTTATCTTTATAGCATGGGACCTTTGAGTTAGTTACTATTTATTATCCCTATTTTATAGAGGAGGAAACTGAAGCACAAACAAGTTGTCATATGCCTAAAACCATATGGCCAGTGACAGATCCAGGATTCAAACCCATATGGACTGTGCATATAAAATTATTGTGGAAGTAGTTTGTGGGGCCTGTGATGAAAGATAGCATATCTCGTAGTTAATTAATCAGTGCATAGGCTGCCCAGAGTTAGCAACAGATGCCATCCACAAATGCCCTAAGGTGCAGATGGTAGAGTGAGTGATATGGCCGAACTCACATTGCAGATAGCTAAATATGTAGAGAGTCAAGTCAGCCCTCAGTCTTTCTCTCCTTCCTAATTCTCTGTATCTCTACCCTAAAAATTGGGGGATGATTTTATGGGGTTTTGAATTTCCTTTTCTCTTAAATAAATGTGCCTTAAATTAAACATCCAGATTAGTGGTGTTCCCTTCAAAGAAACCTTGCAAGGTTCATCAACATTACTTTGATTTCTTAAAATATTTTGTAGCTATTGCTTTGGAACTTCCTTCAGAGTATACATCTGGTCTTTTGAATTTCTGCCGCATTGGAAAGTCATAAAATAGATTTTCAGAAATGGAAGAAATCTTTGATGATAATCTTACCCAGTTGTTTAAAAGTAAAAGAATTAAGACCACTAAGGTTAAAGCTTTTGCTAAAGGTCAGACAGCTAGTTGTTGGCAGACCTCTGACTTTTGATCCCGGTTATGTCTCTCTGGAAATTCATAAGGACACACAGTGGCTTAAGAACAAAGTCCTGGGTATACATGAGCATGGTGGTCCCCTTTGACTAGGTAAGTCCATTTCAGGAAATGTATCCTAAGAAACTATTTCAAGAAGAGAAGACTGCTCTGTATGCAAAGATTCTTGGAGTAGGTTATTTATCACCCTGAAGACTGCAAACCTCAGTGTTTAATACATAGGTTTGGTTAAGTGCATTAAGCTATGTTAGCTCAGTGGAGTATTTAGCAGTAATTACAACAATTTTGGCAACATGGAAAACATACATGCATTGTGAGATGGAAAATTGGAATGCAACATTTAATACACTGTGTTTAAAACTTGTTAACACATAGGGAAAAGTGAAGAAAATGGATTGATGTAATTGGTAAAATGATGATACAACTTTTTTTCTTAATATAATATTGGTTCCTTCCCTCCTAAGTAGAAAACTTTTTATTATTTTACCTTGGTGGATGTGACTATAAAAAAGAAAGGGAAGGAAGAAAAAGGGGGGAAATTTTTTATCATCTCATCTCAACATTAACGATAGTAATGATTTGTGGTATGTGTTTCCAGGTGATTTTCCTGGTGTGTATGCATGTGTATTAGGAATATGTGTGTGTGTGTGTAGAGAGAATCACACCATGTGAATGGTTGTATTTAAATTTAAAGAATATGCCATATGTGAAATTATAATAATTCTATTTAAGTTTTTATTTCAAAAGAAAACATCTTTATTGCTTCTGATTATAAAAATAAGTCAGTCATTACAAAAAATTAAAATAGTGCAGAAAGATAGAGATCATCAGCAGATATCTCCGTGTGCACATGCATATATGCAAAATTTGATAAACAGGACCTTACCATGCATGTTTTTTTGTAGTTTTGCCCTTTTCACAAACTATATCCTGGACAGCTTTCCATATCAGTACGTATAGATCTATTATTTGTAATAACTGCATTGTAGCTCATTGTCTAAATTTTTAAGTTGAATTTGATTCTATTGTAAAAATGCTGTGACAAGTATCCTCATTACGTGCAAGTTTGCTTGTGCACATGACAGATTTCGGGAACTGAAATTGCCGGCACAATGGGTATTGGTGTACGTGCCTTTACATGATGAGCTACCCTACCAAAAGCCCCCTAGAGAAGCTGTATAAGTGGCATGTCGTCGTCTTCTCGAGACCCCCTAAGTTCATGTCTGTTCCTAACACAGTGCCGCGTGTTTAGTAAAGCAGCTGCAGCCTGCCCAGAGCTGCTCCTTTATCTTGTGTTCTTCACACCTCTTCAGGGAGACTCGCAGCCCCTCTGCTGAAACGCCTGAGCCTCTCCACATCCAAATTGAACAGCCTGGCCATCGGTCTGCGACAGATTGCAGCCTCCTCACAGGATAGCGTGGGGCGTGTTTTGCGCCGAACCCGAATTGCCAAAAACTTGGAACTAGAACAAGTGACTGTCCCGATTGGAGTCCTGCTGGTCATCTTTGAGTCCCGTCCTGACTGTCTGCCCCAGGTATGTGCCTGCCATTGGGGTAGGAGAAGAGTATGTTTTCAGGATTCGACATAAGTCTCCCAAAGAAAGTTTCCTTTTTTCTCTTTTTTTGGTGAGAAAGTCTTACCTTTTTTCCTCCCCCAAAGATAATTTTTGAGACTTTTCAGGTTGTTCTTAAAGTCATTTATGTTACTGATTCTTCCAGTGATTCCAAAGTAGGTATTCATATGTACATTTTACAGTTGAAGAAACTGAAGCTTATAGAAGTTACTGTTCCTATCACTTGTAAAGAGTGGAGCTGGGACTGGAGCCCAGATGAAACTTACATAGCACAATGCAGGAGCACTTTTCCGTGTCTTAGCTCACTGGGGCACTTTGTTCTCTGACCACTTCTAACTTCCTGCAAGGTAATTCATCTAGTAGCCGGTTTTGCCCATGTGAAAAAGACCCCTTATTGTTAGTGTCACAGATGGTCTCCCGTAGGTAAATCAGGAAAAAGAACTTTCAGTAGTTCATGGGAACTAGAATGCAACCCTCTTTAAGGAATTTGACATATCACGGTCTGATACTGAGAAACCATGTGTTAAAAGATTTTTCGAAGCAGCCATGCCTTGATTTACAAGGTGGCATTAGAGGGTTGCCCCGTTGGTTACCCCCTCTTCCAGAAATCTGGGACCGTTTTCCCACCATACTGACCAGCAGGATGATACAGCTCTTTCTTTGCACTAGCCTCAGAGTCTCCGAAGTTCTACTTAAAAACAACAGACAAAAAACCAGCACCTCTTTACTGTAGGGCACAGGGTGAGCATGGGAGTCTGACATGCTTTCTGGTGAATACTCCCTGACGTAACCTAAAACCAGCTTGTTCATCAAGGACTCCCATACCATCGGGGTCTGTCCTCAAGCCCTGCCTGGTGCTGGCACACTGCCCCCATTGCCCACACTCCTGTTTGCAGAGATACTCCAGTGGAAACTGTAGAACCCTAATCTGTTAGTAGGAATGGGTCCATGACATTCCTCTGCTCCTTTTCATCCATACCAGCTGATACTTCACATGGAGAAAGATTCTTCTTTAGCCAACTACAGCTGAGGTTCCTCCCCTGGGATCTTATCTCTGGATGGCATCACAGAATCCATGTATTCTAAAAGTTGTATGCAGCCTGGTGTGCTAGTGCATTGAAATAGAGAAGGTTTACATTAATTTTATAAGGGCTCCATGAGCAACAAGAACAAAAAAGGATTAAGAACTAATCGAGATTAACATGTTCAGGCAAGGTTTTTAGTAGTTTCTTTTATTACATTATAAAAATGGGAAGATTTTTCTTCATCCCAAAAACATTCAGAAAGTGAAGCTTCAGGCCTTGGATGATCAAGTCATTAGCTCTTTGCTGTAAGAGGATAGCTAACCCTCCTCCTGGGTGGCCTGCTTTTCACTGGAGTATCTCGGTGGTATGAGAGTCCTTGATGAACAAGCTGGTTTTAGGGCGTGTCAGACTCCCATGCTCATCTTATGCGCCCTGTTTGTGCTCCTTTCCCAGCAGTCTCTGCCACAGCTTGTCTGGGGGCTGGCAGGAGCTCTGGTCTTCTCCAGGTTCTCAGCACCAGGCATTTAGAACTCTCAGAACAGTTACAGGGCCAGAGTAGGTGTACATTTCACAGTTGGAGATGCCACCCAGCTTCAGCCAGAGGCAGCCGAGCTGCCTGTCCTCCACCATGGCCAGAGTGGGGACAGGGCCATGTGACGCCGGCCACTTAGGTTACTTTGCTAATGGTGCTGAGCAAGCCGTACAGTTTAGTTCCTGAGATCGGGTGCTTTGGCTCTGGAGTCAAGGCTTCTAGCCCTGCCAGTTATAAGCTCTGTGTCTTTGGGGAGTCACCAACTTCTCTGGGCTTCAGTGTCCTTATCTGCAAAGCAGGAGATGAAACAAGTATTTAATTCACTGGAGTGTTGGAGGATTAAACGGATTAGGCCTTATAAGTGATGAGCACAGTGCTTGGCATAGGAGGCGTGCTCAGTGAGTGTTAACTGTTCCAGTGATTGCTTTTTCCCTTTGGCTAACTGCTCCCCTCTTTGATCTGCAGGTGGCAGCCTTGGCTATTGCAAGTGGTAACGGCTTGCTACTCAAAGGAGGGAAGGAGGCCACACACAGCAATCGGATTCTTCACCTTTTGGCCCAAGAGGCCCTGTCAATCCATGGAGTCAAAGAGGCCATACAGCTGGTAGGTCCTTGGGAATGAGCCACATCAGGCCCAGAATGCTAGGTCAGGCGTTCGGGTGTTTGAAGCAAAGCTTAGGTCACCTAAGTCCAAGCCACTTGTACAAGCAAGCTTGACTGGAAGAGCGGCAGGTCCTGTGCACCTGCTGACATTGGATGATGCCAGAGGCTTCCTTTGCCCAGGTGGGCCTTCACTGGCTTGGGAAGGCCGCTCGCATACAGCTGTGTCCTGGCACTGTGATTTACAAGAATGCCTGTTGGCTCTTCATTCTTGGGGCATACCCATCTAGAGTATGAGGTCAGGGCTCTGCTCACTGGCAGAGTGATTTAGGGCAAGGCGCATGAAACACATGAAGCCATTATGCAGCATGTGAGTATGAGGTCATGCTATTATCACTATTGTTATTGTGCTCAATCGTCTCACCCTCCTCAACCAGCAAGTGGAGTCATTAAACTAGACCATAATAGCCAGAGGTTACTGAGCACCTGCTGTAGGCAAGGCAGCTTCCATCTATTGCCTCATTCAGTCCTCAAAACAACCATAGGGGGAAGATACCATTAGTATTAGGGGAAAAACAGGCTCAGTGCTAAAAGTCACTCACCTAAAATCCCACACTCTGTGGTAGAGTATAGATTTGAACCTCAGCTAACTCCAGAGCCTTCTCTTTTTGCATTGAGGCCCACTTACTCCAACATGGCAGGATTCTGCTGGCTGCTGGGACAGTGTGTATAAACCCACTGCATTATATGCTCACTGACAAGAATTGGGTTTTTTCTTATGGCAGCGTTAGGGGTGGAAAGGGCACAGATTTTAGGGATTCAAATCCCAGCTCTACCACATCCTAGCTTAATTAGATAGGTCTCCTTCCAGCCCTCTTCCTACTGCTGTATCACATCCATACAGTAAAGTATGCAGATCTTTTGTGAACAACTCTATGACTTTTTCCATGGATCCACGTACACACATACGTAACCACCAGCCATATCCAGCTGTAGAACATTTGCAGCACCCCAGAAGGTCCCTGTGCCCTTCCTAATCAGTATGCTTCCTCATAGCCACTTCTTTACTTCTTTCACATTCAATCTGTTTAGCTTATTCTTGAACTTCATTATAAATGGAATCATACAAAATACACTCGTTTGTGTTGTTAGGGTTTTTTTTATTATTTATTTATTAGAGAAATAGACAGCAGCGGGGGAGGGGCAGAGGAAGAGGGAGAAGCAGGTTCCCTGCTGAGCAGGGAGCCCGATGCAGGGCCTCGATCCCTGAGATCATGACCTGAGCTGAAGGTAGGTGCTTAACCGACTGAGCCACCCAGGCACCCGCACTCTTTTGTGTTGTATTTTTTTTATTCATCTTTATGTCTGTGAAGGTCATCCATGATGTTACTTACCTCCAGCCGTCGTTTTCTCTTTTTTATAACCACGTGATATTCCATTTATATGTATATGCTACACTTCATCCTTTCTTCTGTTGGCCAACTTTTGGGTTGTTTCTGGTTCGGGGCTACACAAAATAAAGTTGCTATGAAAATTCTCGTACGTATGTATTTGTATTTCTTTTGTAAGTAACGTGACCATATGGGTGAAATTAAAAATCAAGAGGAGGGAAAAAGGCCATCACCCTAGTGTCCTGACACAAGTGTTTCTTCCCAGGGTAGAAGTGGTCAGTAGCACTTGCGGGTGCTGCTACTTTGTATTTTGTGAGGTCAGATGTCATTTTTGTTTTTATTCTGTACCTCTTCAGGTGAATACCAGAGAAGAAGTGGAAGATCTTTGTCGCCTAGACAAAATGATAGATCTGATCATTCCACGTGGCTCTTCCCAGCTGGTCAGAGATATCCAGAAAGCTGCTAAGGGAATCCCAGTGATGGGGCACAGTGAGGGGATCTGCCACATGTATGTGGATTCAGAGGCCAGCGTCGATAAAGTCACCAGACTGGGTGAGCCAGATGGGGCCCCTGCTGTGTGCAGGCAAGATATTTATCAGATCCTGTGTGGCTCGGGAGCATGTTACTAGAAACAGTTCTTTGTCTTCCTTCTTTCAGTCCGAGACTCTAAATGTGAATATCCAGCTGCCTGTAATGCTTTGGAGACTCTGTTAATCCACCGAGATCTGCTGAGAACTCCATTATTTGACCAGATCATTGACATGCTGAGAGTGGAACAGGTATGACAAGTTCCAGGACTCCTATGTCACTTCCTGTCTTCCATTTTGAGATTTAGAAGCCTGTGGGATTAGACCAGGAGCAAGTGCCATACCATTTAAGGCAATTTAAGAAGCAGTATTTTTGAGCATTTACTGTGCACAGAGTTTTGTGCTAAGTACACGGAGAGTAAGACACATCCCTGCCTTGTCACATACTCAGATAGCTGTATTACAAAGTAGAATGTGGTAAGTGCTAAGAGAGGTCAAAGATAAGACGTGGCAGTCCTGTTTCTGGGAACCTCTTATTCAGGCAGCATAGTTTAAAGTTTGTTTCTGAACACACATTCCTGTTTGGATTTGATTTGAAAAAATTGTGCAGAAATGTTTTCAAACAGATTTATATGTGTCCAACCCTCCACCAGTGTCTTCAATTACCAGTATTAATGTACTTCATACAATGATATTTGGGAGCCAACAGTTTGTATAATGTTTTCTCTGGATTATTTTATTACCATTTTGTTGAGGTTGTAAAAACCAGTGCTGGTAAGTTTCAGACAAATATATGTTCCATCTTAAATTACTAATTGCAAAAGAATAGAGGCTCTCCAGGCAAAAATGGACAATCTTAAGTTTTCTGGCAGAACACATTGTAAACTTTAACATCTGATGTCATGGCACCCTTTCATAATTACATAAACAAGCACAGCATTTAGAGAAAGTGACTGCTGGCCTTGGTTGCTTTGATCCTGTGTGTATCTTTTTGCTTTCATCCTTTAGCTGGAAAGGAAGGCTCAGTTCAGCTTATAGATGGGTGGGCACGGTCCCAATGAGAACCTGAAAGGATTGTTTTGAAAATGAAAATGCACCCCACAAATTAAAATGGAGTTCGCTCACATGATCACTCATGTTTAGGGCCTTCCTTGACACTGTTGGCCTATTTGATGGGCCACCTCTGTATGCCAAACACCACACTGGACTGGACTGGACAGGAGGAAAATTTTCCTTTAGCAGCCAGGAATAAACCTCCCAGTCCTGATTCAGACAAACCCATGATATCCTTAGTTATTATCAAGACTGCCTTGAAATTCTTTAAATCAAAATCAGTCAATATGTGTACTTCATGTAACACTTTTGTGTTGCAGGAAGTAAATCAGCAGGGTGACTTGCCCAGAGCAGGGCTCAGGGATGGGTTTCCTGTCCCTGAGGAGCATGGTTGGACCCCAGGCCTGGAGGAAGCGGGGTCCCAGGTAAAAGGGCCTCGGGAACAACAAGAACAGGACAAACACTGCTTGTTGTAACTTAAATTCCTCCAGCCAGGAGCACGATTAGCCCCCGAGTCTCTTGCTGAGCTGAGCCTCGAGGTGGGGCCTGACTGACAAAAGTTGGAAGTTGAGGTGGCTACCAGCTAAATACTCTTTTCCTCTGAAGCACACCTAGGACTTCTCTGGAGGGAAGGGAGTAGAAATATGTATGCGCCATCTCCCCCTTTCCATGTGAGTGCATGTCTGGGTCCCCTCTGCAGGGGATGGGATTTATGTAGTCAAGTGTTCATTTCAGCAAGATGCCAGCAGTCAAGGGCTTATGTCGATAGCCTGTTAAATGCCTTGCACATTCTTAACATTCAGAGGCTTCCTGCTTAAATCCCTGCTCAAGTTTTACTGAGGGCCCCTGGCCGGCAAGTGGCCAGTCGGCGTTTTCAAAAGCGGAGCATCCTGGAGGGTCGTGGGCTGCTTCTGAAAGGAAGGCAGGGCTGGTTTAATCGTCCGTGCTGCAGCAGCCACAGGCTCCTCACCTTCAGGCTCATCCGGCTGTTTGGTCCTAGAGGAAGAAGTGCGAGCTGGCTTCCTGCTGCCGGGTTTATATTGTCACCGCTCGACTTCCTCTGTTCCAGGTGAAAATTCACGCAGGCCCCAAGTTCGCCTCCTACCTGACCTTCAGCCCCTCTGAAGTGAAGTCCCTCCGAACGGAGTATGGGGACCTGGAATTGTGCATTGAAGTGGTGGACAGCGTCCAGGAGGCCATCGACCACATCCACAAGTATGGCAGCTCGCACACAGATGTCATCGTCACGGAAAATGGTCAGTGCGCACGTGCCTCAGGCCTACGGCACCTGCCCTTTTCCACCCTGGTCTCCATGGGGTCCTGCTCCTCTCAGCCCCTCTGGCTGCAGGAAAACATAGTCCGAATGGGCTAATGGTAATGCCTGGCATCGGTTGTGTTTGTGGGTTCACTGAGTGCTCTCCCATCTGCTGCCTCATTGTACTGTCACTGCGGCCCCGGGGGAGGAGGCAGGGAAGAGATGGTTAGCTACACTCTGGAGATGACGCACTCTGTGCCACAGGGATTACCATTTAATCCGGACAACAGTCCCTCCAGGCTATTGGAATAAACCCATTTACAGCTGAGGAAACCCAGGCTCAGGAGGTTGAGGGCAGAAGCAGCTCTCCACACACATTTATTCACCGCACAGATATGTACTGAGAAACCACCGAGCTGTCAGGCACTGGAGGCCCAGCAGGACAGGCAGCCAGCATGGCCCCTCAAGGGATCTGCAGACGGTTTATCGGGGAATCACAACACCACCAATAATAATAGCTAACGTTTACTGAGCACTTACGTGTGCTAGGCTCTGGGGTGAGTGCTCATGGATGTCAAGTCCTTTTATCCTCCACACAACCCTGTGAGCTAGGTAATATTGTCAGTCCCCATTTTGCTCAGGCACAGAGAGGTTCATAAACCTGCCCAAGGTCACCTAGCTAGTGGGTATGGAATTGGAGTTCAGACTTAGGCATTCTGGTTCTGGAGCCTTATAAAGAGATAGTATAGTCAGGCCATTGCAGCATCAAGGGTATGTCTACAGGGGGAGATTTGGATTCCAACCCACCCAGTCTTTCCCAGGCAACTACTCTTTCCATAACAGGGACTGAGGAAGCTGGTTAGCCTTCTTCCTCTTCAGATTTTTCACAAGTCTGCATGTTTAATATGTAGGGAAGCTCTTCAGGGGCCTGGGCTCAGCCCTGGTCAGCCACCAGTGTGTGACTGGAAGGACGGATATTTTCCCTGGGTCGCCCTAACTCAGTGTCTTCTCTTTATGCTGCAGAGAAAACAGCAGAGTTCTTTCTCCAGCACGTAGATAGTGCCTGTGTGTTCTGGAACGCCAGCACCCGCTTCTCTGATGGCTACCGCTTCGGACTGGGTAAGAAAGATTCTGGTCAGGAGAAAAAGAGGTTCCTTTGTGAATCACTGTGTGGTCCAAGGAGCATGGTGAGGGTGGAGGAGACACATGAAGTTACATGCTTGATTAAGATAAAAGAGAAGAGTTGTGGGAGGGTAGTTGATGAGAGAGAATCCTCAGAGCAACCTTGGGCCGGGAGAAGTCCTCTGCTCTAAGCATTTCGTGTATTAAGGAGGTAGGTGCTTGTTGTTTTTTTTCCATAGATCTTTGAGATTCAGAGAAGTGAAGTAATTTGCCCAAAGCCCCCCAGCTGTCTCTCAGACCCACACTTACACAGGGCCAGAGCCTGGGTTGCTCCCACTACAGGATGGGCAGAGCACAGCATGTCTACTGCACAGGTCGTGACAGGCGGGCGTGCTGAGGTCCCTCGGGAGCTGTTGCAGACTCACTTCTTCAAAGAGAAAGCCAGGTTGCCTGAGAGGAGGGATTCCCCATGAGGACAGGACAAAAGAAGGTTTTAATACGTATGCTGGGCTTAAATAGGCAGCATCAAAAACAAACAGGTAAGCCCAGAGGTGCAAGGTTTATTTCTAAAGCACACCTTTGAAATAAAAAGCTTCAGAAAAGCACCCTTAAAAAAAAGAAAGACCTCCCTTCTCCCCTTCCATCATTAGAAATACAATCTCCAGGGGCACCTGGCTAGCTCAGGTGGAGCATACAACTCTTGATCTCAGGGTTGTCAGTTTGAGCCCCATGTTGGGTGTAGAGCTTACTTAAAAGTAAAATCTTAAAAAAAAGAAAGAAAGAAAGAAAATCTCTATTCCCCAGTGTGGAGATTTTTCAGACAGTCCCTCGTTTTCAGGGGTACCATTATAAAGAGCACCAATAGGTATTTACGACACATCTGAGAATTCTTTCAACCACTTAAGACATTTTAAAACTCTGAACTTTTGAATAGATCTGCCCAGAGAATAGTTCTCACTGAATTAGTAAAGGTTGTTAAAGAGAATTTTACTCAGTTATTCTTAGTCATTAGACTCTTTACTGTTGGTTACCTGTTTGTTATGTTGGGGTTTTGATTTAATTGTCACATCCCTTGCATTGATTTTTGTCTTTCATGTTGTTGAAGAAGAAATAGCAGCGTACTTTTAAGGGCTGAGTTACCTAGCTTTCAAGCCAAAAGTCCAGGATGGGGGAAGAGCAAAAGACCACTCCATTGTCTTTGCATCACGTGCTCAGAGCAAATGCTCAAACTCTGGCTGAGTTAAATTCCTATGAAGTGCATTAATAACAGTGACAGATGGTGTTTATTGAGCACTTACATATTCCCAGCACTGTGCTAAGTGTATCACATGCATTGTCTCACTTAGTTCTACGTGATGGGTTCTGTTCTTTTCCTCATTTTCCACATGAACTGAAGCACGGGAGATGGTTTGGCCATGTGCCCAAAGTCATGTGGTCCCTATGCTATCAAACCAGAATTAGAATCTGGTGGTCACACTCCCCTTGCCAACCACTACTACCCAGCATGGCCCCACTTGGGCCTCTGCCCTGCTGGTCTCTGCCTGCAGCGTCTCTCCACCTGCCCCTCCGCTGGCCGGATCCTTGTCATTGTTCAGGGTTCAGAGGAAAGGCCCTTCCTCAGGGAGGCTCTCCCTAACCACTCTACCAGTGGGGTGTCCCCCCGACCCACGCAGTCTGTCCCAGCGCCCTTCCCTGCACTCCCATTACCACATGAAATTATTTGCTGAACTGTTCTTTGACTGCCTTGCCCACAGAAGTATGAGGTCCAAGAAAACACGACCTTGCATAGGTTATTCACCACTGCCTCCCCAGGGCCCAGCGTGGTGCCTCTTACATAGTATATGCTCAGTAAAGTTGTGACAGACAAGGGAACCCTGCCTCCACTATATACCATGCAGAACATCCAGACAGACCCAGGAAAACCCCTAATGCCCCAAGTCTAAGCTTAGAGCAAGAGGGAAGGAAAATGAACTGACCCCTTTTCATGTATTCAGTAACTGTCTAGTGAGTGCCTCTGTGCTAAGAATTCTGGAGGATACGAGAACATGTCCCAGCCCTTCCATTCTGGGACTTAGAGAATATTTGAGGAGATGAACCTCAATACTAGACATTGTTGTATACCTCAAAAAAATGCCTGAATGTCAAATTATGATACACAGTCTAGACACTAAGCAGATATCAGCCAGCACTCCTAGCATTATCAAAATGCATTTGGGATAAGAGTGCAGAGGAGAGCCCACACATTGTGTTTCATTAGAAGAAGGGGGCTTGTCATGATTCATAGCGACCGGAGGACACATTGACGGGGACTGTGGAACCCAAGCTGATCTGGGGAGGATGGAGCAGGAGTGGGCAGGATGAGAGGGTGCCACGTGGGGAGAAGGAAGAGCTGTGGGTCTGGTGGGTGGACAGGAAGCAGGGCTGGGAAAACCCGCATCCTCATCCATGCTTTTTCTCAGGAGCCGAAGTGGGCATCAGCACATCGAGGATCCATGCACGGGGACCGGTAGGACTTGAGGGACTGCTCACCACTAAGTGGCTGCTGCGAGGGCAGGACCACGTGGTCTCAGATTTCTCAGAGCATGGAAGTTTAAAATACCTTCACGAGAACCTCCCTGTGCCTCAGAGAAATACCAACTGAAAGCATTCCAAGAAGAGCAGGGAAAGATTCAAGAGGTCTTCACAGTTAAACTTGTCTTAAGAATCTCAGGGGATGAGCCAGGTCTCATCTCCCACTTCTGGAAGGGTCTGCCTGTTGGAAAGTGCACCGAGATGCTTCTGGGCTCCATTTGGCTACACCAATCTTGGCTAATGTGCATATTCCAATTCATGCTTCTCTTTCATTGTTAGAAAATAATCGCTATGAATGGGGACTTTGCTTAATTGCTGCAGTTAGGGACTTCGCTTCACACAGTCCAGTTCCCCTCATGATAGAAACAGAAAGGTGCAGCTTCCCCACAAAACCAACGGGAAAATCATGGACGCTTTTACCTTTTTATCACCTCAGTGAGGTAACGTCTCCCCTGACGTTTGGTTGGCACTAGGGCCCATCACACCTAATCTGTCTTTCCGCATTTCATCTCTTTTTGCTCACACTCATCTTCAAAAAGGAAAGGTTTGGAATTTAGAAGAGGGGCAGCTCTTCTTTTTAGCATTCTCATCAGAAACAGTCACAAAAATGGACTGAATCATTCCCACTGGGAAGATTGACCTTTTATATTTATTGTGGGTAAAGATAAAGCAGCATTTCAGATGCTCGTGCCTCTCCAGCCCCGGAAGATTCGGCATGACCCGGGATGCAGTTGGAACCTGGAGCTGCGAGTCCCAGGATGAAGTATCTACAGCAATTATGCTTGAAATTTTTATATAAATTATTTTGTCATCCTACCCTTTTCTTCCAAAACAAAAATTAGAGGGTTATTTTAATACTTTGGATTCTTCCCCCTTTTTGAGAAATAAAGTTCTTATGAAAAGCCTGTGTGCGTGGTTAAAGTCTGCACCCTCGCTCGCCCTGGCCCTCTTCTTCCTCCGCCCTCCCTGTGGCCCGCACACCCGCTTTGACACACTGGCTCTTCCCGGAATGCTGGTTGGGGAGAGCATCTGTCTGCCGTGTGTGTCCGTGGAGGCAGCACAGGCAGATCCCACGGGACGGACCCAGACCGAGAGGAGAGGAAAACAGGAGATTGGGCCCCAGGAACGTAAGGACCGAGAGCATGGTGATGGAGTGAGGTCGGCGGGTATGGACAGCATGAGCGAGCCGCCACTCGGACGGCCGTGGCCCCAGTCCCGATATCCTTAGTTCACTTCGGAAGACCCTCCCTCCCTCCCTCCCTCCATCCAACTCCTGTTTTAGGGGCCCTGGTGCCCAACAGTCTGCAGTTGAAAGCTTTCTCGTCTCGTGGGGGCCCTTGCAGAGAGAGAAGCGCTCACTGACATGCTGCTGCTTATCCTCTGAGGATGTTTTATGAGCACAAGAATCATGGTGTCGTGTGGAACATGTTCTCAGGCCGGCTCCCAACTCTCCCTCTCATCCAGAGCCTTACATGGTCCGGCAAGCCACCCTGCCCGCCCTGCCCTCAGAATGGGGAATTTTGGCATAGCTTGCCTGAAAAGGCAATAAACAAAGTCCTGCCGGAAGCTGTATGGCAAATACCACAATCAGCTCCCAAGCAGACGACAAATACCCCTTGGAGTCGAAAATAGAAAGTGACCCAAGAAGGCCGGGGCCCTTGGGGAAGACTCGGCTGAGGAGGCAGGCCTGGATCCGGGCCCTGAGCACGATGAGTCACAGGAGTAAGGAGTGGGCCGAGCATTCGGGCAGGGGACTGGCCCAGGCAGAAGTCCAGAGGTGGGGATGAAACAAGTCTGTGGAGCAGTGAACACACCAGTGCAGGGCAGAAGTTCGTGTGGGTAAACAGGAAGGTGTTACATCCCAGACAGCTGATTGTGGTAGAATCCCATGGGAGCCACCCTTCTTGGGGCAGGGGATGGGAATGGGGTTTGGGCTGGAAAACACAGCTAAAGCTCACTCATCCCACAAGGCCATTCCCCTGTAGCAACCTCAGGTTTAGTCCTTTTCTACAGAGGACTGTAGGGCCGTTGGCATTCTTTATTTTTCCACCACAAGTGAAGAGATTCCCAAAGGAGGGTCAGAAGGCAGCCATTGCCTTGTAAGTATCCCCACCCAGGCAGTCTTCAGTACTTACTGGTTTGTCCCGTAGGAAGGGGGCTTTTTATTCTGAAATCCCTCCTGTGGTCCTGCCCTTTTCCTAGCTACCAACTCTGGACAACAGAGTGTTGAACCAGCCAATCCAGAAGCTCCCACCTCCTCCACCAAGGGGGGAAAAAAGCTCTCTGGGATATGTAAGACAACAAACGTTCTTCAAGCCAAGTTTACTTGAGTTTAGGTTTTCTGTTACAGCCAAAAGTATGTCAGTGATACAGTATATACATACATTATGGGGCCATTTAGAAAAGTATTCATATGGGGGCCCCTGGGTGGCTCAGTTGGTTAAGTGTCTGCCTTGAGCTCAGGTCGTGGGATCTCGAGCCCCACATCCTGGCTTCCTGCTCAGTGGGGAGCCTGCTTCTCCGTCTCCCTCTGCCTCTCTCTCTGCTTATGCACTGCGCTCTCTTGCTCTCTCTCTCTTGTTCTCAAATAAATTCCTAAAAAAAAGTATTTGTATGGAAAGAAAGGTGGGCAGCCAAGGACTAGATTATAATAGGTGTTATTTGCTCTATATCCCTAATGTTGTGGAACCATCTCTCCTGTGTTTTGCAAGTAATCCCAGTCTCTGTGATTCAGGGGAGGTTATGCTGATCACCCCCCTACCGCACTATTTTTAGTGGTAGTCACATGACTCGGCTCTGATAAGTCAGAGTGCCCTGTTTGCCTGCTTACTGTGACTGCTTCAAGGCTGGGCATACGATGATTTAAACTTGGCCAAATGGCACACTAGTAGAACTGAATTTTTACTGCAGTTATTAGGAGAAACAAACTGTCCTCCTCTTTCCACATAGAAGTATCCAGCACAGAGGAAAGGGAGCCAGGGGATATATAGAGACTTTGCCCGCCTGGCTCCATCAGTGCCTGAACTGGACTGGTAGGCTGGACTCCATTGTTTTCCTTTTTTGCTTAAGCTAGTTTGAATTTGGTTGAGTTTTGAGTTCTATCCCCTCCATCATAGAAGACTCTGGATAACATACCTGTGTTTAATTGTCTGCTCTGCCACTTACTAAACAAGCGACTTTGGGCAAGTTACTTAGGTTCTGGGAGCTTCAGTTTCCTCCTGGGAACATTAATATCTCCATCCTAAGTGGTAACATGAATGCTTGGCACGGCATGGGCACATGGCAAGGACTCTGTAGGGGCGGGATGGTCATTTGCTGTGATTTTTCAGGTGCCCAGGTGTGTGCCTAGTTCCGTACTCCACAAGAAAACAGTTTTCTCCTGTTATTCATGAGGCAGTTTTCAGAAGCCAGATTTTCCCATCCCAGCTTCATCTGGTCACCAGAAGCCCAGCTTTGCCCTCTGCAGAGCACTGAGCCTGAGATCAAACATTTCAGCACTTAGAGCGTGTGGGCAGCTGCTACTGAAAAGGGAGTGAGCAGTAGAGACCTTATTTGGGGTCTGGGAAAGAGAAGGTGGACCCAGGTGAGCATCACGCTCTGCCTGAAAGAAGAGGTGGTCCTGGTTTGGCTGAGGGGAGCAGGCCTGCTCTACGTAGAGGGTGGGAGCAAAGCAAGACTTTGGGTCTCCAGATACTTAACTAACATGAGCTCTGCAGAACACAGAATACGTGCGGTGTCTGTGCACTTCTGAACTAGAAATTCATTTCTCAACCTCCCAGCGAATGCAAAGAGTTGGCATATTTAGATGAATCCTCTGGCAATCTCATCTGGCTAAGGCTTTACATCTAATCAAGTCTCTTTTTTGACTCGAAGCAGTTGACGTGATTACTCCTCACTTCTGCCTCTCAAATGTACGCGGAACAGAGTATTTCTGGGTAGCATTTTGTGCCCTGTAAGGATAGTGACCATGAGGCCGCAACTGGGGAGTGTTATCAGGTACAAGTCACAGAACCCTCAGCTCAAAGTAGTTTAACAAAAGAAAGGGTATTTATCGGGTTACATAACTGAGGAAATCCAGATGCGTAGTTCAGACATGATTTGATGCGGGCTTGGCTCCCTTTCTCTGCAGATCTCTATAAATCAGTGGTTTCCAAACTTGAGAATCTCAGAATCACCGGCAGGGTTATTAGAATAGATTGCTGATTCAGTAGGTCGGGGATAGGGGCTAAGAATTTGCATTTCTAATAAATTTCCAGCTGCCGCCGCCAATCCAAAAACCACACTTTGAGCATGACGGTTCTAGAGGTCCACTGGCAGCAAAGCTGTCCACGTTGTGGGTTGAATGATGGGAGGGTGTCAGATAAAACTACCATCAGACAGAAGTTCTATGCTCCACTCTTATTAAACTGGCCTGAATCAATCACTGTAGTAAATGTAGAAATTGAGTTGCATTGTTCCAGGAAATGCAAACAGCTAGGGCTTGAACATGATAGAAGTTCATTTTTGTGTCTGGTAAGAAGAGGTCTGGAGGTAGGCTTCCCAGGGCTGAGGCCAAGGCTCCATGATGTCATCAGGCAGTTGGGCTCCTTTTGGTTTCTGCTCTCCCATCCTAGGGTAAGGCCCTCATCCCTGTGATAGTGATCTCCCTACCGTCAGGACCATGTTCCAGAACCACAGGCAAAGGAGTACGTGCCAGCTGCCTTGTCCATGCGACTTTTGGGAAGGCCCATCCAACTGCTCGTCCAGAACTGGCTCGTGACGCCCCTCCTCACTTCTACAAGGAATCTGGGGCATGTGACTTTTTTA